ATGTTCTGTCCTCAAGTTAAGCAAGAAAATGCTTTGAAATGGAAATGCATCTTTTTTTTCCCCCCTCACTGTGCAGAGCCTGCGCTGCGGAACCACTGGGGTGGTGACTTTCATCCGAGGGAATATGCTGCACGTGGCTTGGCTCGGGGACTCCCAGGTGATGCTTGTGAGGAGAGGCCAAGCTGTGGAGCTGATGAAACCCCACAAACCAGATCGAGAGGTGAGAATGGCCTAGTTTAAATACACCTGGGCAGTGCTGACCACAGGTGTCAGCTCTGTGTGGTGCTGCCTTGCTGGTGCCTCTCTGTGCGGCAGCGTGCGCTCCAGTTCCCCTTGTTTGTTTGGATCTCAGCATGGATTTGTGTGCAAATCCTTTGTCTCACCTCTCGAGGGGCCTGCAGCCTCCACCACGCTGTGCTGGGGAGAAAACAAACGTTTATGGGAGTGTTCAGCACTGAGTGCTCTGTCCAAACAACTCTTGTGTCGCTGTCTAGGACGAGAAGAAACGCATCGAGGCCCTGGGTGGCTGCGTGGTCTGGTTTGGAGCCTGGAGGGTGAATGGGAGCCTGTCTGTCTCCAGAGCTATTGGTAAGAGTGAGCTTTCCTTCCTTTTTGAGTCTTGCTTTGCTTTATAACTATAAAATTTTAATTTTCTACCGCTCAGAGTTTGAAATAGAGCTGAAGCCAGACCTGTGAGCAATAGCCTCTTGTTTTTCACCCCCTGTGGTTTGAGGGAATAATTTCCAAATAATTGCTTTAACTTGGGGTAAGAGTCACTGGCTCCATGCTGAGTTAATAAAGGGCTTCTGGATGCTGTGGCTGCAAACCTATGGTGGTGTCTGTCTGCTGTTTTTTCCACAGGGGATGCTGAGCACAAGCCATATATCTGTGGGGACGCAGACTCTGCCTCCACCCTCCTGGATGGCTCTGAAGACTACCTCATTCTAGCCTGTGATGGCTTCTATGACACAGTCAACCCCGATGAGGCAGTCAAAGTGGTGGCTGACCATCTAAAGGAGAATAACGGTGACAGCAGCATGGTAGCACATAAATTAGTGGCATCTGCTCGGGATGCAGGTTCCAGCGACAACATTACTGTCATTGTGGTATTTCTCAGGGACATGAACGCAGCAGTCGCTGTCAGCGAGGAGTCAGACTGGACAGAGAACTCTTTTCAAGGTGGGCAAGAAGACAATGGGGAAGACAAGGAGAACCATGGAGACTGCAAACGGCCATGGCCCCAGCACCAGTGCTCAGCACCTGCAGATTTAGGGTATGAAGGACGAGTGGATTCCTTCACCGACAGAACTAGCTTAAGCATAGGGTCCAGCATTAACCTGTTTGATGATCAAGGCTATTTAGACCTGACTAAACCAGAAACTAGTACACCTCAGAGTGCCAAATGTCTGCCACCGGTCCGAGCATTTAGTCCTGGCATACCAAAGAGTGCGGATTTGAGCAGCAGTTTCCCAGTGAAGAGCGAATCCCCAGAGCTCCCCACGTCCTCGCTCTGCAGCCAGAGCCACCCCAGGGAGGACAACACTCCTCTGAGCTCGGGTGCTGCAGGGCAGGGCATCTACAGGGTGAAGGGTTTATCCCCCATCTCCTTTGGGCTGGAAGACGAACTGTTCCAATCCTTGGGAAAACGAGCTGCGTTCCTTCACCTCCGGCTGTGCAGCGCGAAGAGGCGGCGAGGAGCCAGGCTCAAACCAAAGTTTCACACTCTGCTCTTGGCTCAGGAGCATTCCCACCTGGAAGGATGCAGCCTGGCCCTGCCCGTGCAGGGCCGTGGGGGCAGGAGGCTGTCGCTCCGGCCCTCGCCCTGCCGCAGGTTGGCTAGTCGTAACGCTTCCAGTGAGAGCACGTTTTTGCTGCGAAGACAAAGCAATTGTATACCAGACCCATCCCTTCATCAACGCTGTAAAATGTAACCATCCCCTCCCCTCCTCGTGTCCCCCCTGTCAGACTCCCAAAGTAGACATTCCCAAAATAAAACTGGCCTCATCAGAAAGCAAAAGAGGTGAGCAATTTCCGAACTGTTCTCCGATCCCCTGCGAAGCTCCCAACCCCGTGTAAATAGATCTAGGAATTAAAAAATGTAGTCGTCTCAGTCTCAATAAGGTTTTGGTGGTGGTGCCACCCCCGAGCAATGCCGCAGCCGCCCGACCACCCGCACACACGAGTGTCAGCCACATTCACCAGGGGAAGCCAAACAGCCTGTGCACATGGACAGACACCGTCAGGGCACAGTCCTCAGACAAAGCAGAAGGTTTTGCACCTGCCTGAGAAATGGCTGTGAAGCAATACGTAAAGAATGAGCTGGTTTGGAACTGCCAAATTGGTTTAGAGCAGGGGGAAGTTTCCGTAGAGTCGAGGTGTTGGGGGGGGGTTGTGTTCTGCTTTCTGTTTATTCCAGGTGAGCGTTAAGATGAATTAGAAAATGACATCCACTTGTGCAGGTAGATGACTAAAAGCCATACAGGGTTTTACCAGGTACCTTAGGAATGGACACACTAAGCTCCTGCTGCTCTGGTCTCAGACTCCCGTTGAGGTACAGACTCATAATTTACCTGTTGTTTTTTGTTTTTCCATGCAACATAAAATGTGGAATATGAAGAAAACTTTGCTGGTAGTTTAAAAACTCCTATGGCTGGAGGTGCA